TAACTGATTATTTTGACATCGAGATGTATGAATATGGAAAATTGGTTTTGAGTCCCATAATTAGCGTATCTTGCAACACATTATCTAAACCATCTATTTTCAAGATTTGTATATATTTCTAGATCAACTTGATTTTAACTACTTTTGAAGTTTAAAATTTTATAATTAGATATGAAAATGGATTTTGAGATAATCCTAAAAACTTTTACACCAAAATTACATCTTATGATAAAATTTGGAGGTGCGCCTTAATTGGATTGTTTAAAGTTGCAACCTTATAGAAACCACACCCTTAGTATTTTGATGATAACTTTTTCAAATGTGCATTAGATTGGGATGAGGTTGCTCTTGCAATTTCCTACAAGATGGAATATTTTGTGATAAAATAGCTATGAATTTTCAATGGAAAATTTCTAGTGAGATAGGGATAGGAATGTTGTATATTAGTGCGTTGATGATCCTAGAGTGTATAAGAAAACATCTATGGGTATATGCGAACTGTGTGTATACATGGACTATGTATGTCGTATGAGATAAGAATTTCATGATCCATGAAAAACTCAAATTTCATATGTCTACAATTACATCTTAGTCACCACGTTATGGTTTTCATTCCCAATGACATCACTTTACTAACATCTTCAATACTCTAACCCTTAAATATTTTAAAAAAAGAGTAGGGGCATGTCTTTTCTATTGAATTATCCAAAAACAACACTTACAAAATAGGTTGCTTGAATCCTGTTTAGGTTATCTATGTCAACAAATTAGACTAACCAAAATTGGTTAAACATTAATATTAATTAGTTTTTACTAAATTCAACTTTTTCGTTGGTCTAGGTAACCAAAGCACTAGTTACCGTTATGACAAGTTGGAGTTGAACTTTACCGGGAAACACAAAACTAGCTGCTGGCCTACTTTTTTTATAAGGTGAATCGATAACATCCATTCTCGATAATATTATTGAAATCTAACCTTGCATGGATGAGTGAAAAAAAGTCGGATATGTCAAGGTCGTGCCTTATACAAGCATTACTTTCATGCACTTGTGATATTTTGTACGAAGAAAAACGTTTGTATAAGGTTGAGGCTCTAAACAATCAAATTAATCCTCAAATCAGTCATCTCGACCTAATGACCTCCTCAAACTAATGATCAAACTCAAAAAAAAATAAAAATTAAAAAGGGAAACCTTATATGTGGCTTAAAGAAACTTATGTCTGAATTTTACTTATAAGGTGAAATTTGTAGAAGGTGCCCACCTCTTCATTTTGCTTGGCGATGTAGTTCTAGGATAAAAAATCTTATGATGGATTGAAAATCTATTTTTATTCTATAGTTATGAGATTTAAAATTTCAAAATGGTACAAATCGAGCAGATCTATAAACATTTGAAAATCTTGAAAATAGATGGCCCATATAATTTGTTACAAGATGAAATATTTTTTGGTCTTGAAATTATTTTATTTTTCACATCCATGCATCTTGAAGTCGAGATGATCTGATTGGAAGGTCTTCTAATGTCAGAAGAATCTCTTTCAGAGGACTTTTGAGGTTGACATAAGTATATGGTTGATATTTTATATAAACTTTATCCTTATTTATATAGTAATAAGGGAGATTTATCAAAATACCCATAAGAGATGAACTAGTAAATATTCTACCGATTTGAAACTATTCCAACCCAAAATCATGTGGTTTTTAAGTTGATCATTAGGTTGAATACATTATCAGAATTTATGCTCTTCGAAATTCTCCCATATTGAATGTTAAATAGCACTTAAAAGAAGTTTTGACGAGTGCTTATGGTTTATAAACTTCATGTTCAAGGTTCAAATCCTCTCAAACACCACCTTATCCCTTTTTCATGGGAATGGGGTATCGGTGGTTAGGGGGGCTGATACCTCATCATAACCAATCCCACTTCCCATTCATGCTATAATCATCTCAAAAGAAAAAAAAAAAAATCCTAATTTACTTTTTTTTAAGAATAGGCTTATGGCTAAGTGGTCTGATGGATCATCATTACATTATGTCTTGAGTTTCATTCATATTGTATTATGGGTACATAATTCAATCCACGCTCAACTATCCAAAACAACAAAAAAATTAACATGGAAGGATAAAGGTATGCTCCTCGAGAAATGAATCGTTTGACATGATAGAATGACCCATAACAAAGTACTCATTTTAAGTCTAAGCAAGCATTTCTTATAATATTTTATACATGGTGAAATGGTAAGCATTTAATTCCCATTTGAGAGGCATCTCAGCCAAAACCTTTCTTGTTTGTTAATTTCATAGTTTATATTGGGTAGAAACACAGAATGGATGCTGGGAAGTTGGTGGCATTTTAGAAAAAACATGATCACTTATCTTCTCGACCCATTGGTGATAGATAAGGAATCATACTTAGGAAGTAATAATAACTTCAATGAATGTACACATTCGATTCTTCTTTCTTTTTTGTTTTTTTTGTTTTGTTTTTGTTTTTGTTTTTTTTTTTTTTTGTTTTTTTTTTAAGAGAGAGGGGTTGACTTTTCATAAAATGTTATCCCTTAATGGATTATGTCAAACCGGATCTGTATCTAGTTTCTTTCCCCAAATCGGGATTTGGTCTATCACTTAATAAGTCATGAATAATTGTTTTTGGTAGTTCTAGTGGATGAAATCAAACTTGAGATGTTCCCTAAATAACTATTTTATTATGAAAATTTTGTTTATAAAATGATATAAAGTTCCTTAAAGTTGTTTAAACATTTTAAATTTTGCTTATAACTTTTGCATTGTTGTTTTTTTGATTTTTTTAAGTTCACCAAGTCCATTGAGTTGAGCAATTGAGTCGACGGGGTTTGCATATATTTTTTGGCTTTTGTTTTTCTTTTTAAGTTTACATGGAGTTTGCTGAGTTGACCTTCTAACTCAACATATTCGACTTCGAACTGGTGGGCTAACTATCTTACCTATTTTTAACATATTTTTACTATAATATATTAAAAATGATAAACAAAAGATAAGTAGTCCCAAGAGTTATGTTTTTCTATTTTTTTATCTTTTTTTTCTTAAGTTTGTCAAAAACAATGATAAACCTACCACACTTCAAGCAGGATATTGCAGTAGCATTCCGAAGACTTGAAATATCATCTTTGGCAAATGTGCACCACATATCATCTCACTGTCATTCTCTGTGTCGCAAAGTTAACACGTCAATATCATCTCACTGTCTTCCTCTCTCTCTCTATACATTTATGACCTTTCTCTCTCTCTGTCCAAATCATCCATCCCAGGTATCTATCATTTTTTCCAAGAGAAATGCACTACGTTTGACATATCAATCTTAAAAAGACCTTCAAAATAACTTTTTACACATCTTATTTTGGAATATTTTTTATATTGTACTGTAAACAAGACTAGTTTTTTTTTTTACACCAGTCAACTAGTCAATGAATTTGTGATTAAAATACCCTTCTCAATACATTTTGTAATTTATATTTTTAGAGTTTCTTCTCCCTCTCTCTACACCTAAAAGTTCATGTTTATCCACTAAATTTCTCTCCTCAAACTCTTCTCTCTCTCTGTAGAAATCAAACTGCCCCCAAGATCTGTCCCTCTCTTCAAAATCCCTAACTCTCTCTCAACAAGATCTCTGCCCAAACTCTTTCTCTGCGAAATCCCAAACTCACGAAATCTCGCTCCACAATCTATAGAATTTAGAGAGAAAGGGAGTGAGAGAAAGCAGGTAGAGAGAGTGAGAGATAGAGAAAAACGGGTAGAGAGAGAAAGAGAGAGGATGGGTGGAGAAATGTAGGGAGAGAAAGTATGAAAAAGGATGATGTGATTAACAAGAATAAAAGAAAAAAAAGGAGAAGGGAGAGAAAAATGACTATTTTGTCTTAAAATACATTGACTATTTAATCGAGATAAATACAAAAATAATTAGCATTCGGGTTTAGGGTATAATACAAAAAGTATTATGAAAAAGGATGGGGAGAAAATTGATTTTGAAGGAGTATATGGAATTTTCTTAAATTTTTATGGCCACACTTTTGGTGAGTCAATAGACTCACCGATCACCTTGTAGTCCCTTATCTATTTACCATTCATCTCTAAGATGGATGTCAAAAAATGCTACATCCAATAAAAGTTAAAATGGACGGTAAAGAAAGGAATTAAAAAATAAACATTTATATTTTAAAAAAATATTATTTATAGCCACAGTTTTGGTGAGTTCAGTCGACTCACAGGTCACTTGTCTATTTAACATCCAGATCGATGTTAAGCAATGTTACTTCCAGTAAAAGCTAAAATGGATGGCGAAGAAATGAATAAAAAATAATATTTATATTTTTAAAGCACATTAAAATTTATGGCCTGAGTAAGCCGACTCACCTATCACCTTGTGGTCCCTTGTTTATTTAACATCCATCTCTAAGATGGATATCAAAAAAATGTTACATCAAGTGAAAATTAAAATAGACAGTGAAGAAAGGTATTCAAAAAATAATATTCATATTTTTTATTTTTAGTGATCGAAAATACACTTTTGAGATATATTCTATAAGGAAATTGCACAAGAGTAGTGTGAGTCTGCCGACTTATCAAACGCTTCTTTTATTTAAGGCGAGTTGTTGATCTGGATTGATCCAAAGCACCCTAACGCACGCCCCTATTACTTTACCACACAGTTTCTATGAGTCCATGTAGAAATGAGTCACTTCTTAAAAATGTATTTTTGAGATGGATTTTTGTAATCTTTAACATATAGATCATTAATATGGAAAATAAATAAATTTTAAAAATGAAAAATAATAATTTTATTAAAAACCCATTTGGATCATTAGTATCAATTGTTTCTAGATGGACCACCAATTTGGATCTATCGATGAGGGACCCGCAAATTGTAGAAATACGGTCCAGGCCGCATGAAACAATTTTCCATTAATTTAGCCCTTTTTCCATCCACCCTGCTTCTTCTCATGCAATTTAATACTCTCTCTCATACAAACGTAACAATCTCAATCTCTCTCTCTACAAATGAGTTCCCCCGCCTTGTTTCTATGAACACAAACGGTTCTCTCTCTCTCCTCTCTCTCTGTGAATTGAGAGAAAGTGTGGAAGAATGGGTTCATGGTGTAACGCAAGCACCACCTTGATAGTTTCAGTCCCTCTGTTACTTCTCTCTTCCCTCTTTGCAGGCCGCTTCTATGCTGATATCCCCTATAACCACCCTTCTCATCCTCCAACTAATAATACCTCGCTCTCTTTCTCTCTACACCATCCCAATCACAGCAAAACCTTTCTCTCTCTAGACCATCCCACGTCTTCTAACCTCTCAGAATCCGGAGGCTCTCCTCTCTCGGTAGAGCATGGCGTCGCCATCTTGTCCCCCCTCACTTCTAATCTCTCAGAATTGGAACCACCGCCCATTAAAACCCATGAAGCAGTTCTCTTTCCTCCTCCCACTGTGAGAACCCATCCAAAACATTGTTTTTCTTTCATTTTAGAAAGAGAAAGAAAACAAGAATGGTTTTCAGAATTTGATTTGTATGATTGAATTTTGTTACAGATGAGAGAGAAACAGGGTGGTTTCGAGAGGGTGGAAGCACAATTGGTGAGAGCTCGGGCTTCCATTAAAAGGGCGGCTAAATTCTGCAACGATTCTTGCTATGGTGATGATCCTTTGGTCCCAAAGGGTGCGGTTTACCGCAATCCTCATGCCTTCTATCAGTAAGTTCCACAATGCGACCCGACCCGGAAAAAGTAGAGGATGTGGCGACAAAGTGTGACCTAAGGGATGGGCTAGAGTTAGTGCGAGCCCGGTTTGGCTCAACCCTTCTCTTTCTTTGATTATTCTTCATTTATTTTTTTGCCCAGACAAGCTCGGCCTTAGCCCTGTGGGGTCGGGTTAGTTTTCCAAGTCAATTTCACACTTTACGAGTAATTTTTCGGGTCAAAAGAAGAAGTTGCATTGTTTTTTTTTATCTTTTTTTTTTGAGGTGAAAATATGAATCATGACTGAGGAAATTCAGGAAAACAGAAAGAAAAATCAAATTTGGGAGTTTTTTTTGTACGATTCATAATCAACAAAAAAAAAAAAAGGAAATAAATTGAAAACAGAAGGACAAAAAAATGATTTTTTTGGAATTTGAAGTACGAATGCATGGCCTGAAAATTCAGGACACGAAGAGAAGAAGTGTTTGGGATTCTACATATTAGTTCCCATTTTCATGAGATTCCAACAGGCGAAGAAGAAAATGAACTGTGCATTGCAGGAAAACCAGTACTTACATTTTAGTTTCGAATTATGAATTCATGGCATGAAAACTTGGGCAACAATGGAAAAATGGAGAGTTTTTACGTTTTCAATTCTATTTATTTATGTTTCACAACCAACCATTGATATAAAATTCAGCCGGCTGGATTTCGACTCAGCAACTTGCCAGCCAACCTCGATTCGAACTCTGCACGATGCCGAGCCGAGCTCCTAATTGTGAACCCGGTTATATAAAAAAATAGAAAATTACAGATGCCCCAATATGATGATTGGTAGATTTTTCTCACCATGTACTTTTATTTTTATTTTTTATTTTTTTTGAGTTGTTTCCAATTATAAATAACTTTTTCTCAATTTGATCGTTCATATTTTTTCACCTTTTTTGGACTTATAGCTGTGTTTATTTTTCAGTAATTTTTTGGGCATGTATACTCCTCAAGTGAACCAGCCGACTTGTAGAAACCCTATTCAATGTATTCACAAATCTATTTTAATGACTATTTCACCCTTTGTCCGGGATTTTAAAAATTCAAAGGTAACATTAGTCCTTTAATTGAACCCCAAATTTAATAGGATGGAGTCTTAGAAAAATAACAGAACAGTCACCAACATTAAACGGTTTGTAACATTTTTATGCTATCCTTTGATTTTGCCCCTTCAATCTGGTGCCCACTGGTTTACATCCAAATATATATTGTTAGTATGATTTGCGAAAAATGTTTGACTTATTTGTAAACATAAGCGAAGACGAATTATAGTAATTTGTTCCAATCCCAAACATCTATTGTTGAGCTCTTGAGAAGTTAGTAAAAGAGAAATCAATAAATCTACATCTTAAAAGAAATGTTTTCGCTTTTTGTTTTTCATTATTAATTTTTGAGACGTGTTTCGACTTTTCTCAAAAACGTCAAAAGTTCCAATTCTAGCCTCCCTCATCCAAACGGATATGTTTTGCTCTGAGGCAAAGCCAAGCCAAACCTTAGTAAAAGAAAAGGATCCGGTTTTTATGAGTCCCCAACTCATACTATTTTCATGCGGGGTCCCTTGAACACCCATTATTTGTATCGATCTTGGATCTAAATTTATAGGAATATATGATCTATACTATGATGATTATGAATATAAAAAATAAAATATAATAAAATAAAATTTGAAAACATTTTTATTAGAATATATTCCTATTCATTGGATAGGAATATGTGGCTGTGGATGTTCATCTTAAAGATTGGACATTTGTGATTGTGCGTGCTAGTGAGACTCTTTACTCACAAAACACTTTTTCAAAAAGAAAAATGATCTCTAAGGGCGCGTTTGTTTTTTTGAAAGATATCTTTTGGGAAGTTAATGTCTTTAAATCTTATGGAAAGTTGAATGTTTAGTTCTGAAAGGTTTAAATAAGTTTTGGGTACTGTGTTTGATAATATATACATATTAACCTTTTAAATATAAATATATAACATAATATAATATATTTTATTAATGTATAATTGTATCATATATAACATATAATATAATATGTATTATAATATAATATAAGATATTTATATATTATTTATAATATAATAATAAAATATTATATATAATAAAAATATATATTATATATTATATATAATATATAATATAATATAGATATTTGTATATATATATAATATAATATTATATATTTTATAATATATATATATATAATAGTATAATATAAGTATTTATATATTATTTTTATTATTATTTATTATATTATATAATATTTATTTAATATAAGAATTATATTATTTATAATATAATAATATAAATACTACATACAATATATAATTAATGTAATAATTATAATATTTAATTTAATATAAATATATTATATAATATTTATAAAGTTATGAAAGATTAAGTTCCTACTTCCCTTTAGGAACTTAAGTTTCAATTTTTAACAAAAAAATGGGAACTTTTGTTGAAAGTTCAGTTTCTGAACTTTTCACGGAAAGTTTGAAACAAACATGAAACTTTTTAAAATCTAAAAGAATACTTTATGAAAGAATACTTTCCGAAAAACAAACACACTCTAAGAGTTTTTAAACAATAAATGAATAATGAATGAGTAAATAAAGCTAAACAAAACCATACTATATCCCCTAATTGATTAATTAAAATGCTATGACTTATTTCAAGGATGGGTTTGGGAATCTTTTTTTTGCGTTTTTTTCACATAAACACTACGAGAGAAAAATTACTATTTGACCCTTTACAATAGGTTCATTTAGTTTTGATACAAGAAAGTTACAATTATCATCCGTCATTAGATGTGAAATCAAGCGGCTAGGGGTATGTCATTGACTAAACACAAAGTACATAACAAAATTTCATGAACTATGTTACACACCATAAGTTATATCAGATTTTACATCTGATGATTAAATGTGATTGTGAACTCCATGTATAAAGGCTGAATAGTATTGTGGCTAAAAATAAAGTTGATGAGAGTTTTAATGAAAATTCTATAAGGGAAATGAAGTGATTTTATATCATCCTCTATTTGGGAGTCAATTTCTTCTCATTCACAAAATGTCACTTGAATCTAGCTTAGTTATACAGGAGCTATATCGACATGGAGAAGACACTAAAGATATGGATCTACAAGGAAGGTGAGCCACCTCTAGCCCACTATGGACCACTGAAGTACATATACTCCATAGAGGGCCAATTCATCCACGAGTTTGAAAGCAGGAACCAGTTCATCACCTCGGACCCGGAGATTGCACACCTGCACTTCATACCTCTTAGTGTTACCAAGATGGTCCAAACTCTCTATCCTCCTAATGGCTACGGTAGCGGTCCGCTCCACCGGACGGTCTCCGACTATGTCAAAGTCATCTCCTGCAAGTATCCGTTTTGGAACCGAACCAGGGGCGCCGACCACTTCATCCTATCTTGCCACGATTGGGTGTGTAAAGAAGCTAACCCTGAGCTCCTTTTTCCTTTATTATGATGCATAGTATAATGATAAGCACTATAGGAAAATGATAGTCCTTAAGGTAATGAAGTGTATTTAAATGATGGACGGTGATGGTTTGAGTGTGACCGGATGGTGCCTTGTCATAATTGGTCCATTCTCTCTCAATCACCACCCATCATTTCAATGGACAGCAAGTTGCCATGTTTAAGATTCTCAAAACCGGTTGAGTGTGTCTCTTACAGTTGAGATGGGTGAGGCCATGGCTTTTCTGTACTCCATGAGCACAAAAACATGGCTCTATCCTCCAAAAACCTACCATTCCATAGTTCGATTCCCCTAATTTTCAACTCTTTTGCACGTCTTAGGCACCAGATGCTTTGAAAGGCAACCGGGACCTGCAACACAATTCAATCAGGGTTTTTTGCAATGCAAACACATCAGAAGGCTTCGACCGTCGCAGGGACGTGTCAATGCCTGAGATCCACCTAAAAGGTTGGGAAATCGATGACCTGATCGGAGGCCCCTCCCCATCTCGTCGCACTGTCCTCGCATTCTTCGCTGGTGGCGAGCATGGCTACATTAGGTCCGTACTCCTAGAGCATTGGAAGGACAAGGACTCCGAGGTCCGAGTCCATGAGTACCTCCCTAAGGGCAAAAGTTACTCTAAGCTAATGAAACAGGCAAAATTTTGCCTGTGCCCCAGTGGTTGGGAAGTGGCAAGCCCAAGAATTGTCGAAGCTATTTACAGTGGTTGTGTTCCGGTAACGATTTCAGCCAGTTACATCCTGCCATTCAGTGACGTGCTAGATTGGAGCAAGTTCTCAGTAAACATCCCAGTGTCAAGAATCCCAGAAATTAAAACCATCTTAAAGGGAATATCACAGAGGAGGTACTTGCAGTTGCAGAGGAGGGTGTTACAGGTGCAACATCATTTCGTGTTGAATCGTCCGGCCAAAAGGTTCGATGTCATACATATGATTTTGCACTCTATTTGGCTCAGGCGACTCAATCTCCGGCGCCTACATTAGTTTTCTTAATGCATTGCAGGTGCAATATCTCTTGAATGTGTGACACTAGGGGCCCTGGGCCTATGCTCAACTGAGCCTAGGGTCGGTTTTTATATAGTATATAATATATATAAGTGTCGTGGGAGGTCGAAAGTCGACAGAGGGGTAAATGGGATG